TAAAAATTGAGAGAAAAGTGGATCCGGTGGGCGTCAGATAGCTACCAACGCACATGTCACGGTTTGTTTCTCTGTTGAGGGTATAGGGGTAGATTTGTTTCCCTCCTAATCGCTTTTTAAATTCTGGGAAGATGACGTTACACTTAGAGCGATTTGCATCCCTTATCTGTCTTATGATAAATGGTATATATGTTTAGTGACGTTATATAGCTTGGCTTTTACCCCAGTTACGTAGTAACGCAAAAAAATATTTCTCTTTTCTTTTTTAACAGTGCACGCACTTCACACCTGTGGTATGTAAAAGAAAACAAAATGTATATAAATTTTTTATTTTATATTATTTGCTTAAATAGGTTAATGTATATGTTGGAAAATACCAAGTAAAAGATACGGTATATAACGCCACAAAAGTATATAAAATTACAACTTTTTCTTGGAAAATATTGAATTTTTTGGTACGTATTGTTTTTTCTTATTGCACATTGCCACTAGGACTGAATTTAAATAGAAATTTTGTTACCTCCTCTTTAATATCATATATTTTAGTTTCAATATCATTTACTCTTGATTAAATTGACGAGAAGAGTTATCTAACGGTTGGATATGCTTTCGTCTTAATTTACTAAACCAGGCGACAAATTAGGTCAATACGCCATCACAGAATGACACCCTCAAGACTTTGATGTTCGGGATGCATTAGAAAAATTACTTGCTCCTATCTTTGGACAAACTAGAGCGACACTCTCAAAAGCTTGATGCACTGGGACAAAATAGAATGACGTGTCGGTTTATTTTGTCACCGAGTTTAGTCTTTATTTGTAGGAAAGTTTCATTTTTGATTATGCAAGAGTGATGATTATTTATTTTATTTGAAAGAAACCTTTTATGCTTTCTTTACCTACGCATAAAATGCGAAATGAATCATAATGTTGTAACATGTAATAATCCATAGTTGAAAAATTACCATATAAAAAAATGTTCGAATTGTCTACAGCTCACAGTGACACTGTGATCACAGTAGCAGGATCACAGAAGTGTTTCGTCGGATAGTTTGCTTCAATTTAAACTTTTTATTAGAAACTACAAGCTATGCTCATTCGGCTATACAGAAAAGAAGAGAGGATACGGTAACTTAGAAGAAGAGCTAAAAATAGAGTAGATGATTAAAATTAAAAGAATTAGTTTCTTTAATAAGGCAGACTGAAGTTCTAAAACTTGTGTTTTTGTCTCTACAACCCTGGCGGTTAAAGTTTTTTCATCATGTGTTACAGCATAATCGTACTAACATATTTCAAATCGATATTACGTCTGAATTTGTCTAAAACTTGTCTAGTTTTATCTGAATTATTTGTAAAAGTCTTCTTCTTATTCAAGATTATAATCTAGAATTTTCTTTGTAAATACGATATTTTTCAAAATACAAATATGACTAAAACTATACAAAAAAATCTAGAACCACCTTCACTTTACGGACCGATTGAAAGTTGTAATATCAAATCAAACTACAAAAATACCGAATCGTTTCAACAACTACAACCTCATTCACAACCAACAACAATAGCAGAAAAGCAAATCAAAGATCCAGAAAGCACGCGAGAAAATTTTTGGAGAGATATGGGCCACGCTATAAAACTGATTCAACAACTGTCAACTAATCAGAGTACACATACAAAGGCACAAATTCATGCAGCTGGTTTTTCTTCTATTGAAAATAATAATGATTTGATACGATGTTTACAATGTCAAATTGAAATATCTGGCTTGACTAAAGAGATGGACCTATTCAAAGAGCATAAAATTCGGAGTCCAGCGTGTCCATATGTGAAAAAAATGACGTTTAACAACGAACCAATTGAAATAACAACAGGTATGATCTAGACTAATTTTTTCTTCTTCGTAGAATTATTTAAATCAATTAATATTATTTATTATAGGTAAACCACAAAAACTACAAAAGACAGAAACAATGACTTGTGTGGGAGATGCTACATCAAAACAGAACATTAATAAACAAAAAAATGTTAATCTCCCATTATATGAAGTTGAAAGTCTTCGTGAAGGTCGTAAACGATCATTTTCACATTGGGTACATAAAAATCCGTCACAATCACAGATGATTGAAGCAGGATTTTTTAATTGTAATGTTGGTGACAGAGTTATTTGTCTGTATTGTAACATTATCTGTCAACAATGGATACCATACAAAGATGATCCAATTGAAATACACAAAAGTTTATCTCCAAACTGTCCATATGTAAAATTAATTCAAATAAAAAACGCCTCAATGAACAGTATTTGTATTCTAAATGGAACGGACAGTCAATCATCACAAACCACATCCGTTAATAGTAACAATAGTAACACAGCTAATGGGGCTAGTTCTAGAATTCGATCAAATGAAATTGTGTTGACAGCGGCTTGTAATCAACAATATATAGAATTACCTAAACGTTCGACATCATTTACTACATGGCCTACTGATCCTTTACCATCAGTCGATGATTTAGTAAAAGCAGGCTTCTTCTATACTGGAACAAAAACAATAGTAACATGTTTTTATTGTAATGGTTCACTTCAAAACTGGGGACCAAAAGATAATCCAACGATTGAACATGCACGATGGTTTCCTCAGTGTTCATATGCTAGACAACTATGCGGCGATGATTTATATCGAAAAATTCAAGAATCAAAACAAGCTGCTCAAGGTAACATAGCTATAGTTTTTTACCTTTCATCTGTTAAAATTCTCCTATATCGGTATTAGAACGATCAAGATTGAATGAACAACAGCAAACAAAAGGTTTTTCGATATCGAATATTAATGAAACATCAAATAATACTAGTCTAACAAATAACGGAACTCAATCGAATAGTAGAAAATTACAAATTCCAGATGAAGCTACATTGTCAAGATTAGTTGCTGCTCGACTAGATTTACCTAGTGCAAAAAGTTTATTAAATAAAGGTATTAAATTATCAATCATAAAACGTTGTTTGGAAGATCAATTACGCTTAAAACGTAAGTTTTTTTTGTGAAAAATTAATATTAATCTTATTTATTTTAATTATTATTTCTTATTTAGATGATGATTTTATTTGTGATTCTGATTTACTGTTAGCCTGCACCATACTTCAAAAACAAATTGAGTATATTGATGGGAAAAAGGAAAATATTATTGTACCAAGTGTACATACGAAAAAAGTAGCAGAACAAGCAGAAAAAGAACGAGCAGGTACGGTTAGAGAATAATAAAATAACTAATTTTTTTACTTTTATGATATTCTTATTTTACTTATATTGTTATTCTTCCATTCTAGGTAAAGAAACTCTTGAACAAAATATATCTTCTCCTAATTCGACAGAATTTTCACCTCTACCAATGACATTGTCTTCATCTTCGTCTATGAGTGAAGATGCTGATATGACGACATCATTAAGTAGCGAATCACCAATGTCCAGTTCTCCAACATCTTCTATTGATTCAAATCCCCTTGTAAAATCAACTGATGAAAAATCAAAATCAAAAGCAGATTCTCCAATAGAAGTGTCCAATCCTTGTGTACTCTGTCTAACCGATGAAAAACGATTAGCTTGTATACCATGTGGACATTTAGCAACATGTGTGCCTTGTGGACACTCACTGCGAACATGTCCAATTTGTAGAAAACAGATCGAAGCATTCGTTCGTATATATATTTAAGTTTAATAGAATGAATAAGTTTACATACAGAATTAGTCAAGCAAATTTCATAGCCATCAAAATGACTCACATTTCAATTGCTTACACTGGATAGTTGTTTGATGTTGATATTAGTGGGACACAAACGATAGAAGAACGAAAATTACAGATTCAGACGCATTTCAACAAACATACAGTGAATTTAAAATTTATTGGTGGTATTTGAAAAAAATTTTTCATATTTTATTCTTTTGAAGAAGGTGATCTGATAGATATCAGAATATATACAAGACTTAATGGTACGTTTTGACTCCTTTTTGTTTATTCACTATGCCAGATATGATTAAATACTTATTGAGTTTTACAAAAGAAGTCAGATTACTAGTAGACCTATTGCTCATATTGAGCATAATTTTGTATGTACATGTTGTACATAGATTTTTACTGATTCAATTCGGGAGACTTTTTTTACAAAATCAAATGTAATTGTATTTTAGCGTTTAGAAATGAGAGTTAATAAAATGATATGATAGAATATTCATTAATCAATTTGATGTATTTTATTGGTTGATTTATAATTTTGTGACTTAGATTCACTTACTCTCTCTACTAACTACTTTATTTATTTATTTATCATATGACGAAATGTGTCTAATTTTTATCCGTACGGTGAGCATGAAATGAGTTTTTTCACTTATTTCATCTTATGAAATAATGTAATTCAAATGTTATCCCGCATTAAATTATTATCTTAATTTTTTTGAAAAAGATATCAAAATAATCAACGTTGAACATTAAATGAAGGAAAATCTATTTTCGTTTTGCATATTGTTATTTTATTTCATTTCACATCAAAAGTTTTATGCAGTTTGAATGGAGAAACGCTCTTATATAACAAATGAGAGTTTTTCACATTCGGACATGATACTGTTGGACGTAAGCACTTGTGAGAATGTCAACTTCAAATGGTGAAGACTATGGCTATTCTAATTTTGCTTTTGTTTTAATCAGGAGTTTTTATTGTGTTTCTCCGTATTTCAAATAATCATGAACGCTACTACCATCATCTAAAGATGTTTTGTTTGATAATGATTATTCTGGCAAATGGCAAACAAATATTCTACATTATCTCAGTGCTTTTTATTGTTAATTTCTTCTTGTTCAGTTAAATATAAAGTGTATGAGAAAAATGCTATATTCTGATGAAATGAAACCGATGGGAAGAAAGAGTCGACTGATGTGCATACTTGAATGAACAATACATTTTAATGATGAAAGCTCATCTATTGTCTTGATTGATCCTTATAAATGTTGTAGTGAAGTTTGAGTCAAAGTATTCCACGATAATTGATCTTTTATCCACAAGGATTTTTGAAATTTAGAAATTTCTTGTTATTAATCCAAAGTATAATGAAATAAAACGGATTACATATCTGTCAGAATATTTTATTTCATTTACCTCAGTCAATGTTTTGTGCTTTTCTATGAGTTACATGTTTACCTTTATTAGTTACTAATTTTTTCTAAGCTCGATGTGCATCAATAAACATGTGTACAACTAATATAAATTGAAGGACGGAGTATATTGAATTTAGTAAAGTCCTAGAAATTGTTTTCTTGGACATGAAAGATGATTATAATATGTAGATTGTTTCAATATTAAGAGATGATCAATTTCAATATAAAATAGTTCACGACTTTACTTTTGAATAACTCGAGAATACATGATAAATAGAGGCATATGGTTTTCACCCTTCGAAGAAGAAGGATGAATTCTGATATTTTCGTTAAGAAATATTAAAGCCTTTTATGTAACAGGATTTGTATGAGATCTGTATAAAACGTTCTTGGATCTATAAAGAAGAAGCCGAAAATTGAGTTCTACAAAAAATCCTTTGTCTAATGTGTCACGGTTCTAGCTCTTGTTTTTGTCGAGTTAGATTCCGTTCGATAGAGTCGGGTTATTTGAGCGAGTTGAACTTTCTTCATTGGACAGTCTCATATTCTGAGACGAAATATTATGCTTGCGGATGTTTCTAATGACGCAGCAACTTTCATTTAATGTACTCGATTAAAACACTTCTGAGAGGTGATATTCATCAGAGACATATTGTCACTTATCTTTTTCTTCTCTTTCAAAGTTAGTAGTGCAGTAGGATTTTGCCCATATACATGAAAAATCTGCTTTGTTATTTTACAATTCATGTATCACGATAAGTGTGTTTGTTTAGCCATTCAGCGGGTAGCCACGTAAATGTTTAGTTGGAAAAAACCAACTTCGATGTAATTTTTTTGTTCTTTCTTATCAACATACTCGAGTACATAAAAGAACAGAGATATTGCGTAAGTGTAAAACAAATACAAAATTAGATCTATTACTTCCACGTTTCTATATGCAGAAAAAAATTACATCGAAGTTGGTTTTTTCCAACTAAAAAAATTTAAAGCCTTTTATGTAACAGGATTTGTATGAGATCTGTATAAAACGTTCTTAGATCTATCTATAAAGAAGAAGACGAAAATTGAGTTTCACACAAATTACGTTCTCCAGTGAACTAATTTATAGGATCAATTTACTTTTTATGTTGGCATCTTACAGAGCAATCCCTTACATCCTGTAGGCTTTAATTTGTCTGAATTGATTCTGAATAATTTATGGTGTTGTTTTATAAATTCAGTAAAACTATCCTGAAATTATATATTTTCGAAAAGTATATTTTTACTAGCAACATACTGATAGGTTGCTAGCAACATAAGGATAGGTTTCTTTATGTATGTTAATAATTTTGTATGAAGGAGTGATGTACGCACACATAGTCATTCATTCCGTCATGCTTGAGTTCGTTTAAAATACTTTTTTTGCATAGTCATACTTCTTTTGTTAGTTTTTATGAATAGAAATCTGAAAATAATGAATCTAATTTTATATGTCTTTATGCTTACCTAGTATTCCTGTTCTTTTATGCACTCGAGTATGTTGATAAGAAAGAACAAAAAAATTACATCGAAGTTGGTTTTTTCCAACTAAACATTTACGTGGCTACCCGCTGAATGGCTAAACAAACACACTTATCGTGATACATGAATTGTAAAATAACAAAGCAGATTTTTCATGTATATGGGCAAAATCCTACTGCACTACTAACTTTGAAAGAGAAGAAAAAGATAAGTGACAATATGCCTCTGATGAATGTCACCTCTCAGAAGTGTTTTAATCGAGTACATTAAATGAAAGTTGCTGCGTCATTAGAAACATCCACAAGCATAATATTTCGTCTTAGAATATGAGACTGTCCAATGAAGAAAGTTCAACTCGCCCAAATAACTCGACTCTATCGGACAGAATCTAAGCCGATAAAAACAAGAAATTGGAAAAGCTCCATTGACACTGTGAGTCATTTTACCAAAAAGATTACTATATATTCATCTGACTGCCTCGCAGATTGTCAGTCAGATGAGCAGATATATACTATGAATCGGTTCACTCGGATTTTTCCATTCCCAATCACCAAAGTCATTAGAAAAGTCATGTTTCTATTATTCTCTGTCATTCTCCAGCAAAAACAGGGAAAAAGGATAAAAATATTTTGTTTTCTATCCTTATTATCTTGCTGCGCCATCCAACTAGTAATTTCATTATTTCTCTTGTCGGCTAAAACGCCTAACTGTCACCCGCAGCAGCGGTGGCTTTTTTAGAGATATTTTCTCTCTCAAACCAGCCTTAGAAGCACATTGCTAGACGCAATTTTTTGCGCTGATTATGAATATCACCTTTAAAACGAAGGAACGAAACTCAAATTTTTAAATCGAACTTCAAACTTAAAATTTGAAAGATTTTTATTTCGATTTTTTGACCCATCAAGGTTTTTAAGAGATTTCGAAAAGTATATCAACAGATAGAGAATTAAATTCTCTACAAAATGCACTACTGACTTTGTCAAAACAATTTTGAACGCTTTTTGCACACTAGATAAGTTTTTGCTGGTTCTTGCCGAATTTGAAATGGTACTTTTTTGGAGCAATTGTACGAAGATCAAAAACATTTGTCCTACGTTCTTTTTTGCTTAGTTTAATAGAGGACACTCGATTAGATAAGGCTCAAATCAAAATTAGGGACGTCTTTTTTAACGATAAAACCCACCGCAAAAGAAATAAAAAAGATACTGTGATTCGTCATAGAGGCATTTCACTTGTATCATTTTCATTCAAGTATTTTTAAGGAGAAGTAAAGAGATTATTCGAAAGCTCCTTTCATGCTATACAACTTTTATATTAGACTTTTTTCTGAATATGTCTCGTTTTAGAGCACTTTTCAAAGCATTTATAGACCACAAAATGTAATTCCGCCAACCGCGTTTAAGCCGTTGTCTAAAACAGTAGATAGAATTCGTTTGGCTACTGCTAAACAGAATCCAAATCAGATCTTCAGTGCTATTTGTTAAAAATAGCAGACCAAACTTTTGTATCGTCACATACTTAATGGGATGCAGATTCACAACATTTTAATTGTTTTGTGTACTTAAAACTCAGGTTGCATCTCAGTTTATATAGATATCGATAGAGCATGAAATTCACTACAAAATGGTTGATTTATTTTTACGATTTGTTTCGGGATATTTTTTTATGAACCAGAAGTAAACCGACTTGGGAAAAATGCGATGTACTATCAGTTTTTACTATTTCTGCACTAGAAAAGAAACAAGTGCATTTTGTGTCATACACTACTTTAAAGCTCGTCAAATTTCCTACAAAGTAAGCTACGTATGATACCTTCATCCATGGATTTAGCCCCTATAGTTTTAGACGTGGTATCAATTTTGCTCGGTGACCCTAGACTGGCAGTAAGTGACGTCGGATAACCTCTAAAGCAAACGGAAATATATGTTATTGACCACGACTAATCTTGACTAATCTTGTCGTGGAGCCGGGAAAATGTAGGCAAACCTAGTGAAACTATGATTTGAGGAAAGTCCACCAATTCAGGTGTCATGCAAATTTTCCCTTTCTCGGAAAATCATTTTTAAGCGTGACGTGCTTTTCCACGTAGGATTTCAGGAAACCAGGAATTCTGTTAAATGCACATCGAGAATTCAGTTTTGCCCGTTGTCACACGAATTCCTACACTGAAGCCGATGCGAGCGACCAAGTAATAGACAATTTAGTAATTCACACATGATCAGAAACTCCGTAACCAACTCGGCAAAAGCAACAATTCTAGCAAGCGGCAAGAACGGAATTCACCTAGTGAACAAAGTAAGAAATCAACTAAGCAGGAATTCAGGAAATCAGGAATTCGGGAACTGAGCAAAGTAAGGTTCAGAAAATTAAAGAATGGCGACACGAACCTCGAAGATCGGCCCTTGCTCCGAGCGACCATTCTCGATTGATACAGAGGCGCTGCGCCAAGCCGTCGAAGCCGATTCAGCCACAAGTACGCGTAAATTGTCGGTCGAGTTCGGAACATGAAACTCCACAATATACGAACATCTTCATCGTCTGAGCAAGATCAGCAGAAGCTGTCGAAATGTACCGCACGAATTGACACCAGAACAAGCTCAGCATTTCCGCTCCTCCGATTAGCCATTGCCGATCGCTGCTGAGTCCTGGCGCAGGAGTGCTTGGATGTGTTTTGATGCCGGTTGATACTTATTTACGAGAGTTGTGAACAGTACTTTGATCCAAAGATTTGTCCCGCTTTGCTTTTGTTTTAGTTCGCTTTCCTGGAAGTATAACAGATCAACTTTCAACGTTGTTCAGCATAATAGTTTATACTGAACGTTTCAACAGGGGAATGCATCTACTAGAGTTCGGTTGAACGAGAAAAAGAAGAGCGTTCACACGTGAGGAGCACAGTGGGCAATTTTGCTTAGGCACGTGGACATTGGGGTTAGGAAGAACAGTTTAGGTTCAAAACACTACAGACAAAGATTTTTGGATGTCTTCCAGCCGATAGACCACTTTTTACAACCCCAAAATATTATGGTGTTCGGAAAGTTTTCGGAATTTTCACACTTCTGTTTTGATAGTTCATAAAACTACAACAAAAAGATATAATTCACCAAAGTATAAACCATTATGTTCTACGGTCCTAATCCATCGTTCTGCAAGCAATTCAATTCGTCTGGGGTACCATTCTCGGTCCTTGGAGGCGAAATATTCTCGGCACCCGTTTTCGACTTCGTCAAAATGGGTGAAGCTCCTTCCGCGTAGAAAGTGAGCCATCGAGCGGAACAAGTGGTAATCAGATGGCGCAAGATCTGGACTGTACGCTGGGTGAGGGCGCAGCTCCCACCGCAGTTCTTCTCTTTTTTCTCGCATCCGAGCCGCAACGTGTGGTCTGGCGTTATCTTGCTGCAGGAGTACCCATTTTCGATTGACCAATGCCGAGCAGCGCTTGCGCAGAACAGCATGCACGCGCTTGAGTTGTTGATAATAGAGGTTGGTGTTAATGGGGCATCCATCAGGAACCAGCTACTTGTGGCCGGATCGGCTTCGACGGCTTGGCGCAGCGCCTCTGTATCAATCGAGAATGATCGCCCGGAGCCAGGGCTGATCTTCGTGACCTAGAACAACGTTTCTGTCTCGTCATCAACGTAGACAAACCATGTGTATGTTTCTATGTCATGAATGTTGTTCGCTTGTAGGTGTCTAAAAGAGAATTCAAGATTTTCAACAAGACAAAAGTTTTATACCACTTGCAGTTTTATTTGAACACACGATAAAAAAACCTATTAACTACACATTCTATCTATTAACTACGCAGTCGATGGAGCGGAAAGACACAAATGGAAATGACCGGCGATTTAGTCGACACCTGGATAGTGAGCTGACGAGTCAACGATGAGTAAGGATACATCCACACCACAAAAGTTAACGGAGCTACACTGTAAATTTTTTTGAAATTCTATTTTGTAGAAAATCGACTTTGAAAAAGCTAAAGCATTTTCAAACTTTTATTATTCATTCGTCGAATTTCAAACTTTTAGAAAATGCTTGATTTTCGAAATAATAGAAATTCAATTTGATTTTCTACAGAAAATCGAAACTTGAATATCAACAGTTTATTTTCAAGAAAGTAGAAATTCGTCTGGGAATTTGTATGGACTTTCCTAGAATATCGTTTATGATACTCTGTAAGTAATTTTCTAGTTTACAGGGTAGAAGCCACGCTATTGGTTAGTTAGTTAACTCAACCGGAAAAAATAGATAAACGTTTAGAGCACTTTAGCTCCTTTTCTTATTCACGCCGTAGCTTTTCGCCAAAGCATCGCAGACTCTCAATCCTAGAGACAAAGTTGAAGAGGATAAACTCAGCTCTCCACTGGCCAAAAGTTTCCAGCATTTTTCTGGAAGGTCCTGAGGTCTCTGGAAAATCAGATGAGGGTGAGGCCATTAATAAAAATATGATTTTTCGATAAAAAATGGGAGTCAAACCAAACCTAGATTTTCTGTGGCTCTGGCATGGTACCGAATTTCCTACGAGTCCCGGGACTGGCACCTGGTGACTGTTCGTAGTCTTGAGAGCCAATGGACTATAGATAGTCGATCATGCCGAGTCTCGTGGCAATTTTTACTTTTTTGGAAAAAGTTTAAAAGTCTATCGAAAAAGAAAGTTTTACGACAACTAGGGTTTTCAGACTGTTTTCACCTAAGACAAAACAATTTCTAGAAAACTTATTGCACGCTCACAAAATGATCGTGAAAACTCTTCGCCATCTCCTTTACATCTGCTGTAGAAGGAAGTTTGACAACTTCAAAGAGTTGGACAAATTCTTTGGAGTTCGAGAATTACCTTAGACAAGTAAAAATTTGGTGCTACTACGAGAACTGATGCGACAATCATGGCAGCGATAATGAATATATTTAATTATATTAGATAAGCCAGATGGCAGATAAAAAGTTGAAAAACTCTTTTCATCTTTCCTTAGAATGGTCAGACGACAGATCGGAAGCTTAGAGAAAACCAGTTTGATTCGTCTTAAGAATTCAGACAAACTTCCTAAGTACTGATGCATGTTGACATCATGCGAATAATGCTAAGTGATTAGGGTATTTCTTTTCAATGTACTGAAGAAGAAAACTCGAAACCTCTACATTGAATAAACATAATAGTACCAAATCTATTAATTAAAAAAGTCACAGTAGACATTGAGGACTGTGGAACTTCGCTTGGACAAGTGAACAGAACTACCAGAAATGGATGACATCCATTTTGCTCATTGTCGAATGTTCAAGTGTTCAGCCATCACGGCTTAATCCAAAACATACAGCACCTTTTAGGTCTTTCCTGAAAGGTTCCTTGAGTCAGCATGAGATTTGATAGAGATATAAGAATTTTAATTTTTGCTAGTAACAGGCGAAAAACCGACGTTTCATAAATTGCCTCTGACGAAGTTATTTTCATTTCTACACAAAAAAAAATGTTGCCACTACGCTCAGCATAGTTGATTACCTATATTTCATGGCATTTTGAGATTCCCAGAGATATCTGCTCGGAGACAGACACGTGCTTGGGGAAAGCGAGCCCTATCCAGAAAACGACAGCTAGAGAGTTGGGAGTTGTATAATTTTGTAGAGCAACGTCCAGGATACCTACGCATGCAAAACAATTACTAACATTAAATGTTAGTTTTCTGAGAACGGAACTGGTTTTCCACAGAACCTCTGGAAAATCGGACTTCGAGAAAATTTTGAAACAAGTTTCTTCTTACAAAAACATCTTCTACGGTCTTAGCAACATAATAGTAAAAGCCGCAGGCCTTTGTCTCATCCTTATCGAAATTTATTCAAAAATAACGGAGTCCAGTCTGTTTTGGTACAGACAGTAGTAACAGTCGGAACACTGTAATGTGATTGGTAGTTTTTTCTATCCGTTCATCCAACTGCACGTTATTTCAGTGGTATGTCTGTTTTTCTTTTGATTCTTTATGTTCGTATCTTCTTCTGTCGACGCTTATTTGACTATAAACCTTGAATTTATTAGTTAATAGTTAATAATACTTAATTTTGACAACAGCTGTTCAATGTTATGCACAGAATAACTAAAATTTCACTAAAAAATAGCTTTTGTGAATATCTCTGCTCATGCTTAGACACCAGAAATTTAGTTGTACTCAAGCCGAGCCTCGAGCTGTGCCTATACGCGCTAGATGGAGTCCGATCTCAGTTTATAATATTATTGGGGAGCAGAGCTCCGAGTCGCTATCTCGCAAGCTCTGGCGAGTATGAGCGGCTCGAAGATCTCCTGTATAAATTAGAGCAAAAATGTGTCAGAGGTAAACTGCTAAATTGGTTTGACTCTCACTAAATTGAATGAAACAACAAGAATTTTTAAAGCGTTTCGTTTGTTCGATGCTGTTTTATGCTCTATTTGGTGAAAATTGAGTTGTACTCGTTTCCACACAGTGAGCATTACATGGCTTATACAGCAGTGTAATGGTGCAACGCTCTTGTGGTTTTACAATTGTATGTTCGTGTAGCATACGTTTGTTCTAAGTTATATTTATTTGCAAATTTTATTCAAATACAACTAATCTAAGAGAAAATTCTTACATATCATAGTCACAAATCACTGAGTCTTGGTCTTCATTTGTTTGTGTCGTGATCGGGTCGAACGTTGACGATGGTATGGGATATCTCAACATGGCGACACAACCTCCGAAGCCGAGTTGGAATTGCTGTCCCTCTTGAGTATAATTACTCACCAGAACCACGTTTAAATTCAAATCTTTATAGTTTTCTGTAAACCATTCAACAAGATTTTGTGCATCGACACATTCAACATCATTTTTATTTTCATTTTCGTTCATCAATACGAACAGTTTTTCTAATGCTTTTTGTTCATTATCAGCAATAATAATATGTTCCTGCTGTTTTGTGCGATATACATACCTCTTCATTTCCAAATTTTCCCAAAGCAGGATGCGATCAATAATACCTGGAGCTGAATTCAGTAACGACATTGTTTCATCAACACCAATACAGTATTGTTGATTTTCAGGATCATTCGATAGGCGGATCAACGTGAAAAAGTCATCCAATTCTTTTCGGTCATTTGCCAGTTTCAAATCGGTAAACAAGTCCGAGCAGAGTTTAATTGCTTCTTGAAGACCATTCTCTGCTCCATACTGTACATCGACAACTCGTTGAATTTTTGTTTTTATTTTCACATTCATTAGGTCTCCGTTTATCAATTCATGTTTTAAATTGGCCGAACCAGCCACTATAAAACCCTTATCAATATTGACTAGTCCTGTTTCTTTACTAATGAAATTTGATGTACATGCTTCTGCTACTTTTCTCAAATAATTATGAATGCTCTCTTTTCTCAATCGTTCAAATCGTAGTTGAGATTGACCACCACGGCCATGTTTTTTTGGCAAATCGACATTGAATTTTTGGAGAACAAGCGCGCGTGTGTTTTCCAAACGTGCGAACAATGCTCCGTTACCGTCGACAACGATAATACCATAGACAACTTGTGATTCATTTAGTTGCTGGTGTAAAAAGTCAGTGATAAAGTGATTATCACATCTGTACAATGAATTTGTCAATGGTTGTAATGGTTCAAAACTGATCGATACCTTTTTTTCCTTATTTTGATCATCATCTTGAGCGATCCCGGCATAAATAACGAGACCATTTTTGGGTAATGTTCGTTGAGAATAGAGACTGAGACGAGCTTGAGCTGTTGTTATTGCTTGTTTAACATTGTTTCGTGTTTGCGACGATTTGATACATGATGCTGTACCTAGTTCTTCCGTCAACAGTTTGATAGTTCGCGACACTTGACCATTTGATGGTATCGTTAGTGTAATTAACGATGTCCCTCGACCTTTCATCTGAGATAATTGTTTCACCGTGCGCCGTATTTTCCATCGCTCGATTTCACTTTGCTCGTGATCAGTTGATTTTGCTGCTGCTGCTGCCATATTGCTACTAGCCTAAGCCGACGATTTGTTTTTGCGAGTACGTTCATGATTTAACAGAGTTTCCTTGCGACTTTTATACTTAAAGTATAATATTTCGAAAAGTTTGTAAAAGTTTCATGCTACAGATAATTGCTGTTATTTCTGTTATTGCGAAATTCTTACAGTATTACACAAGAGCATAAGTAAAGGAAGAAAAACAGAATGGAAAGAGAAAATGCGTATGTGAATGCATTTAAGAAAGAAAAAATAAATGATTCATCAGTTGCAGATGTAAAGCTGCTGAAAACTGAGTGTGAATACATCCTTTTCAATAAGGATCTTGTAAGACAATTGGTAATATTCTTATGAAAGAGTCGATATCGAGGGCGAGGGTCCCAATCGCTGAGAAACACTAGATCAGCGAGTTTCTTCCAACTTCAGAGAAAATAAAGATGATTTTCCAGAAATCAATTTTGATCTAGAAAAAACCGAACACTCTTTCTAAAAAATCAGTTTGACTGTCGGTAAAATCAGAAAATATTTTCTATTACTGGAAGGATCAAGACAATGTTTTCGACTATTTTGACAAGCATAATTCGTGAAAATCGACTCCATTCTTAATCCGATCAAAAGCAGCCATAAATCAAAGGGGGAAACAGCTGAATTTGATCCGTTTTTGAATTTACTTGAATTTAACTGAATGTAGCTGAATTTTGATTGTGGTAATTCGGGAAATAAATGTGGCAACATTTGTTTTTCAAAACAATTTCAAAAAACTAGTGAAAACCTATATTAGGGGAACTAACCCATTTTTGCCTATTTTTGAGTAATATTAAAAAATTCATAATCCAGTCGAGATCCATCCAAATTATGCCAGAATACCAAGATGTACCCTGTTTTGCTTGCTTAATACTATGCAGTTCAATAACAGCTTTAAAAATCAACACAAAATACTTTGGTATTTGAGAAGGTTTTCTAGAAATCTTCCGAAGTAAATTCTACAAACGTAATAGGTTGACACTGTTTGAACTCTCATCTAGAAAACATTTTAAGAAGTTTCAAAGAAATACAGCCAGCTAGTAAATGCACTCGTATTTTGCAGTTTTTGACATCAACCGCCCATTTCTTTTGCAAAACCAATGTCATATTTAGAATCAGCTGCCAAAAACCGAATTGACTGTATGTCGATAATCGATTGATGAAGGAGTTTCTCCATCGAGTCTCGAAACCAGTGTAGTTGCAAGTTTATACAACGCGAATGAACGTTACCTGCCGTTTAATTATCATCCGATATGAATTCTTTCTATCTTATCTATAGTATTTGAGCGTGCCGTCCGTATACAATGGTTTGTATAAGAATTTGACAAAAATAAATTATTAAATTCTTTCCAATCAAGATTTTGTAAAGGTTTTCTTGGAGATATAAGCATAGCCACGGATGCCCTGAAAAAGAGAGCCACGTGTAACTTACAATGTGTTAGTACGAGCAGCTCGAAGGTCTCCAGAATTTTTTGAACATTATTTTCAACTGGAGTCTTTTCAAGAAACCTACAATTACATATTATATAAGTGTGAAATTTGTAATTCTGGGTTTCTTGAAAAGACTCCAGTTGAAAATAATGTTGGAAAAATTCTCTGAGCCTTTCAGGCCAAGGAGGATGTTGAAACGCTCAAGCAGCTACTGTGTCTAGACTGAAAAGTAGATCTTAAACAAAATGAAACGTTTTGTAGAGAATTGAATTGTCTATTCAATGGTATATTTTTGAAGTTTGTTGAACAAAATGTCTAGATCGAAAAATGGAAATTAAAATTCTTAAAAACACCTGCGAGCCGCTCTTACTTGCCAGCTTGCGAGATAGCGACTCGTAGCTCGGTTCGACAATCTTATTATAAACTCAGATCAGACTCGATCCAACTCGTGGCTCGGCTCGGGTACAATTAAATTCTTGAGTATAAAAAAAGCGAAGAAAAATTCAGTGTTTCGTGCTCTTATAGATATAACTTTTATTATATTGTGTCTAATGTATTTTTGAAAACATGGACAGTATCACGCATGACCGTTTAAGGACAATCCTGCCCCTTTTCTTGTCCTCCAGGAAACCCGGGGAAGCCTGTCGGATCGGGTTCAAATTATACCAGAGATAGTACATCGAAAAAGAAAATCGACGTATTTTTGCCCAGAATTTTTTGGTGTGATCTTCTATGGGTTTTCTGGAAAACTTCAGAAAATTACACATTACGACCCTTCGAAAAAATGACCCGATCGAGCTTAACATTTTACCAAAGATACTTCACACACTATGACAGGTTCGTTTTTTTGAAAAATATTCTTTCGTTCTGGAGATATTCGAAAAATATTGAAAATCCAACATAAAAAACAAACCGGTTTTTCATTTTGAAAACTTTATCACGCCGAAAGTTGAAATCGAAAACGCTTTACAGAAAATAAGGACTGAAGTATCTGTAGTAAAATTTTGAGCTTGACTGGATCATTTTTTCGAGGGATCGTAATGTGTGCCAAAGGGACACATAGAAGGGACTATTGAAAAAACATAATAGGGACTATTGAAAAAACCTAATAGGGAGAAAGACAGAAAGCAGGAAAAAATTATGTGAAGTTCACGAAATTAAGTATGTAGATCCGTGGTAGTTAAACCTTATAAAGAGGTAAAAGTCTAAAATAATCATTCAGAAAACACAAAGGAAGCACGCGGTGCGAAGCCTCACGCTAAGCTTGGCGTCGAGCTTCGATGAATGGATTATAACAACTCTCAAACGATTCGCTTTTCGGAGTGAACCATTAATAACAACTAAAAAAGCTTCAACAAAGTCTCTTTTCTACAGAAACATGCGAACACTTAGTACTATGCAGCTCAAAAGTTAAGCAAAGTCGAGTTTATTTAATTGCCTCGCTTATTCTTTGGAATTTTTTATTTAAAACTTCCTATTTATTTGCTCTTAGTGTTTATCACAAGCATTAAAAACACTCTGTGCTTCATTTGATAAAAAAAGGGACATCTTTAAACGACTTCTGATTGGTCAATCCGCCATTTTGTCTAGAAGGTTAATCTACAGTACACTAGTAGCTGATCTTAACTCCTATATCATACAGATAAGAGCACGGATCGGACAGAAATTGTAGTTGAACACTTAAACACAAACTTAGATTTTGGTGTTTCCAAGTTTTTAGTTGTTGACCTAAATAAGTCTTCGTTTTGAATTAATCAATGACCGGTCTGAGAATACCTCTCTTTTTTACAGCTTGCATCCATCCACTTTAGACGAAGTTTTCACAGATTGAAGTACACTGTGTGACTTCAGTGGAAATTATTGAAGTATCTAAGAGTTATAGATTTTGTAATAGTTCCAAAGATGGGCTTTGTAACATCCTAATCTAGACACTTATATAAATCTTTGCATTTTCTCTAGGACACTTTTTGGCAGTTATTTCAAGTGAAAATGCAAAGTAACTAGTTCCTCAACTTGAAAATTAGTGGCTTTCTAAAGTACGGTAGTTTGACAACCACCGATCGATGAACGGATCAAGATAGACAGAAATTCAAGTTTGGAGTTGGGCTTCTTTTTAGTAGAGTTGAAGTTTCTGGATTGTAGTGCAGCTATACAACCCCATCGCTAAATTGATCTTATCGATGCAGAGGGTCAAAAGATACACTTTCAAAATTAATATTGTTGAAATACAATTTTGAAGTATTGAAATGCTTTTTTTGGGCGTATTCTTAGAAACAACTGTTAATTATATTATAAAGAGAAGAAAAGAGAAAATAAAGAAGAAACAATCAAACAACAAAACATTGCTCTGCAAGTTGCTGCTTTTATAAGAATAAGAATAGGATAGATTAAACTAAAAAGGATCAAGTTGCTTAATAAGTATGAATATTTTAACTTCTTTCTGAAATCTTGTTCTACGTTATTCCACAATAGTTTTATCTCAAATCCTACAAAAAAATAAACACACAAGATGATTTTGTGCGAGAGCAACGGAGTATATGAATAGTAGTCTATTTCTAGTGAAACTTCTTGAAACGAGATTTTAATTAAGAGCTTAGGTAGTCGAATCTAATATCCAAAAAATTTCTTGAAATCACCATTTTGTTTCACACTTCTGTCTGTATATCAGTGTAAATACTGTTATATACATAGAATAAGTTCCAATTTTTTTCCTTCTTGAATATAGTTGTTTAAGAAAGTGCATATGATTATATATGGACGTATATCTGATGGCTATATGGCTGTCACACATGAAAAGAAAATATAAAAAATGTTTTTCACACAAGATCTTGAAATTTCTGTTTATACGATATTGGTCCAAGATCTTGACTTTCTGGTGTTGTTTCTAAGATCTTGCGACGTTTTTTAATTCAAGATCTTGAATGCAAGAAGTTTCGCTAGGGTAGTTTATAGAACATAGATATGTATCAGAAAATCTAAGAGTAGACTCAGTATGAAAGAAAAAAGAAAATTGAGTATATAACTGCTTATAAAGATGTAAGATATATGTCAGGGTTGAGATTGAAATCTAGACGAATTCTGAATACGCCTAGCCGATATTAGACTTCTAATTTCAACTGGCTACGATTGGAATTTGAACATCGACTAGTTGCAACACGAATAGCTCTAAACTGAACCAACTGGGATTAAAATTACAAGTAGAACTAGATAAGATATGTGAACTAACAAACT